CAATTACGATATCCCCAGCAGGTATCTCATATTTGTACCACCAAATTCATAGATAAGGTCCTCTTCACTAGAGACCAAGCACTGCAGAAGAAACAGCTTGAAGGTTCATTTGTACTGGGAACTCTGGGAAGATGGAGTGACTTGTCTGGTGGTAATGGTGGTGTCGGGCTTTGTTTTGTTTTGATCCAAGAAAGTAAAGAGCTTTTCTCTCTTACAGTGTGGCTCTTGCTAGTGGATCATGGGAAGCATGTTCACTCCAAATAGAAGCAGGACAGGGTGTCCTCTGTGCCTCACAAACCTCTGTCTCCTTTGAACCTGATAACCTGCTTGTCTTCTGATAGGATTTGGCTGAGCAGTTCTCTCATGTATCTAATATAATGTGTCTTGGCTGATTTTCTAGTATAATGTGTCTTGCCATTTACTCAATGGCAGAATAGCTGAGACTGAGTCATGTATAAGGGTAGAGGCTACATTTTGGCTCTCTGACCTGGAGGCTGGAAAATCCAACACTGGGCATCCACATCTGGTAAGGCCCTTGGGCTACTGCAAATAATGGTGGAAGGGGAAGGGCAAGCTGGCTCCTGCAGGGGTAAAACTCTCAAGGGACAGCCTCCCTTTGTAACAAGTCACTCTTTCTGAAACTAATCCAGCCCTTCAAGAGCGAGAACTTATTCAGTCCCAAGATATGACATTAATCCTTCATGAGAATGGATTTCGTGACCCCAGTGCCTTCCACGGGTCTTATCACCTCCCAAGACTGTGAGAGTGGAGACCAAGTCTCAACATGAGTTCTGATGGGAACAATTCATGTTCAAAACTAGCACAACTAATTTTGCACATTTTCCTTTGAGTGAAAAAGTAAAATTAAATTCACTTGCCCATTATTATTGAGTTTTAAAGTTCTCTTTGGTTTTCACTTCCCACTTCACTGGCAAGCTGAAAACCTTGAGTCATCCTTTCTCCATTACCTCAATTCTGCATTGGACTCCAAGCCCGTGGACTCTCCATCATGGTGCGCTTCTCTTCTCCAACCTCCCATGGCCACCTCTTAGTAGTCACACATCCATATCATTTGGAGACTGAAATCTTGTAGTGGCTGTCATGTGGCCTCTCGGTGTGAACCATTATGAGACTGCAGTATGTATCATTTTCTTATTTTTAAACCAGAAAAATCCAAAAGAAGAGGGAGTGGTCGTCCACCACCTGATTGCTGGTGCCTGGGTTATCACCTCCTATGCCTCATGCCCGGCTCTACCCCAGGGTGATCCCTGTGCTCCATGTCCTGCTTTGCATCCACAGAGTTTCCCCAGGCCCCATGGAGCCACTGCTGAGCTGCAGATGCTTTTTATGTCCCTGGGCCCCTACAGAACCTCCAACCTGTTCCCCCTCAAGATCCCTAGAGAGACAGTCACCACCTGTTGTCCCGGCCACTCCATCCTTAGCCATAGCAGAACCTAGCCTCTATCATTTCTCTCTCTAAAAATAAATTGTTGGGTTCAGTAACACATGCCTATAATCCCAGCAACTCAGGAGGCTGAGGCAGGAGGATCTCAAGTTCAAAGCCAGCCTCAGCAACTTAATGAGGCAAAGCTCTTAGCAACTCAGCAATTCCCTATCTCTAAAATATTCATTAAAGAGCTGGGGATGTGCCTCAGTGGATAATTACCCCTGGGTTCAGTCCCCAGTATCCACCCGCCCCGCCCCCCCCCACACAAACAGAAAGAAAGAAAGAAAAGAAAAGAAAGGAGACAAAGAAATCAGCAACTTGACATCTTGATGGTGATAAGCTGTGAAAATTAAGGTCTGGCCCACTCTCTTTATTATGAAAGGAAGTTAACTCCATTTACCTCTGAAGAAATTTCAGGCCTCAAGGACCCAAAAGCCTGCATGAGGGTTGGAGGAAAGGGGACCTTGATTCTTATTTGATAAAGTAGGAAAGTTTTTTTAGCTTTTTCCAGTGTTTCGAAACCTATGGAAAAAAGAAACAAGGGGCCTTTGACAGTTACAGGGATAAAGCTCTTTGAGTTGTCGTGCTGATAATTTTTGCAGTTCAGACAGTTTTATCATCAGGGATAAGGTCACATGCTTCTCCCACCTTCAGTCTGACTGCTGAGAACTTCCTTCCTCATGCCCCAGAATTCTCTTTGTTAAATAGTGACTGGTTGGCCCCTGACCTTCAGAGCAGTCCTAAATGTCCACCTCCCATGTCTGGCCTGCCCTAACAACTCCAGTCCACCCTAGTGCCTTTCTTCCTTGAACTGATGTTATGAGCTTGCCACACAAGGTCACTTGTGGCTATAAGCATTCTATGTTCAATTTTTCCTTCCCACCCCCTCAATTAGCCTCAAAGTTTCTAAACACTAAAAAGAGCTTTAGAAACTTTCCTGGCTACCCAAATTCCATGTAAAAGTGGGATTCAAATTCTAATGTGAGAAGATAGTATTTTTGAGCACATACACAAAGGTTAAAAAAAAATAATAAATAAGGTGCACCCTTAATATAATCAACAAAGTTCTTCCGCATGGAATAATTTTTCTCTCAGATGATAAAAAGTGTAGACTAGAAGATATCTCTCTGGATAAGCAGACTACATGAAAAATCCCCAACCGCCTAGTAAAACTTCAGTGAATTTTATCAGAAATATTAGAAATCCAACAATTCTGGTGCATTTCCCAGGATTGTCAAATTGTGGTGGCTTAAATTAGAGTGGCTCCTGATCTTTGTCACATCGTGGGTCACATGGACAATGACAGTGTTTGCACTGCACCCTGAGGTGAAGGAAGAGGCTGCTCAGCAGGGTTTCTGCCACCTGAATATGACAGGGCCAACTGTGTCTCCTCGAGGATTAGGGGTCTGGGAAGCCCTGATAAAACTGCACATTCAGGTGTATCCCAGCTCATTTGGTGGTGACAGTAGCAACCAAACTAAGAAACACTGCAGCCAAACCTTTTCCTGTCCTCATTTCTGCTTTCAACATTGACAGCGTCCAAGGTTACAAAGCCAGTCTTCCATGGTGCCCTGAGTGTGAATGGTACCATAGGCACAGGGATTGGAATAGTTTTCAATTCTGTTGCCCTTTCTCCATCATTTGAGAGAAGGGGGGAGGAGGGAGGGAGGGAGGGAGGAAGGGAGAAACATTCATCTTCTCACTTTTGTGGATCTCAAATGTATCTTCTCATGGTTTATGGGATGAATGGGCTGAGAGAAGGTCCCACATACTGAGTGCTACAGAAGTAAACTCTCAGCCCAAGTTCAGTCTGGTCCAATGACAGAGAGCTAAGGCAAGTTGCTCAGAGGACTGTCCATGTACAGATATCTTCTCCAAACTACTGGGAGTGCTGTCATTAGAGAAGAAATATGACACATGTGGGAGTTTTCAGGAAACCAGTTTTGTCAGATGCTTCCTCTGCCATCACCAAGTGGATGAAGACAATTTTCTATTTCAGTAAACATCAGCATTTTCTGTCCACACTAAAATAAGCCACTAGAACACAGGATAAAAGCAGATACCAAAATTACAAGGGCCTGTGTTTTATTTATTACTGCCTGGAATTAAGATATTGCATATTCCCAAGGGGTTCTATTTTCTGGCCCGAGGCTCTGTGCACTAGAGAATTTAGCAGCAAATGAAAGAATCATTTACAGTATATGCTGGAGGTAAAATGTCCACATAATTTTGAGGAGCTAGCCACACATGTCTACTGGGGGATAGGGAATAAGTCAGGAATATAACTCTGGACACTTGCCAATTCCACCCCTCAAATTTAAGAACAGCCAACTTTGCTGCAGGCACTCATTTACTCACTTCCATAAATAAATTAAAAAAACAGAATTGGAACCTGCAGGTGGGATAAATGAATTGTCTTGCCTAAACTGCTATGTAAACTAAAATGGCTCTATAATCATGTCATTGTAAGTACCCTTATCATCAGGAGTAACCACATTAATAATGATAAAGTGAATTAAGTAAGCAGAGTTAGATTTTATTTCTTATGCAGATATAAACATGCCACATTAGTAAACATTGGGTGACCCATACAATAAAATCCCATTAGGCAAATTCCAGAGAGGCAAAGTTATCCTGATGGATCAGGTACCTAGTTATATAGCACTAAGCAACTTCTCTGTGCTATAAAGGGGTCAGAACTCACATGCGTGATCATGTTCTCTATATATGTGTGGCGTGACTCCTGTTCAGTAGTACAGATCCCAAGATAGCTCCTGGCAAGGCATTTTGGGGGTTCTTAGAATCATACATTTTCTTAACTTTTGTGAATACATCAGGTAGGAACCTAGTGTTGGCTAATGTCTAGTGAGTCCTGCATCCTCGTTAATCACTATGTCAAATGCACTCCCTACATTTACTCCTTTAATTTTTAAAATATCTGTGAATCAAGTATCATTGTCATTCCTCCTTTATAAATGGAAAAAACAAACCAAAGCTTAAATGAAGTGATCCATGATTCATCCTTGATGTATCTAGGACCAAATTCCAGGTGCTCACCATGAGGAGATTCAGTCAGCCTTCCACATCCATGCATTCGTCATGCTGGATTCAACTACCTGCAGATCAAGATACTAAAAAAAAAAAATTGCACCTGTACTGAATATTTACAGATGTTTTTCTTGCCATTATTCCCTAAACTATTCAGTGTAGCAAATATTTACGTAGCATTTGCATTTTGTTAAGCTAAAAGAATCTAAAGATGACTAAAAATACAAAGAAAAATGTGCATGTGCCATTTTATATAAGAGATTTGAACATCCAGACTCTGGTAACCATGGGGCAGAACAGGAGACTTCTAGAACCAATGCCCCATGGGTTCTGAGGGAGGACCATTGTGTTCTCTGTGTGTATGTTTGAAATCACCTTATAGTCAACACTCAGAGGTGGGAAAGTGACACTACTGCGTCAACCTGCCTCTGTTCTTTTTTTTTCCTAAACCTTCTTTGTCTGCTTGCCCTCTCCTCAACTCTTCCCCCTGTTTCTTTTTCCAAAGGCAAATACGCCATGCGAGACCTGGTCCACATGTTCCTGGAGGGAACAACAGCAACAATTCAGCGAGCAAGGCCATGTCCAATGACACGGTGACTGCCATCTGCTGCACCCTGCACGAGGTGATCACCAAGAACATGGAGAACGCCAAGGCCTTGTGGGATGCAGGAGGCATCAAGAAACTGGTTGGCATCTCCAAGAGCAAAGGAGACAAGTAAGTTGGCTGGTGACGTCCCACCTCCACAGGGGAAGAGTTGGTTCTAAGTGTGCCGATGGATAGCACTATTGAATGTCACTCAAAACCATTTTTCTCCCATAGTCAAGAAAAGGAAAATGGCAGATGGTTTCCAGTTTTCCTTCCTCACCATGAAAGCTGGTCTCACTGTTAATTTTGATTTGATAAATAACTTGTGAGTTGGCGATGGCCATGAAATTGGAAAGGTAAAATTGACATTCCAACACTCATGCTAGTGTGTTGCAAGAGACACTCGCTTAACCTGGAGGCATGAAGGACTCTTCTTGTTACTGTCCTTGTGTGGTTGCGAGTCCAGGTATTGATGGACCTGTGCTCCTTCAGCTCTGCATAGCAGCTCATCACGCAGCACCGACCGGGAAGAAGACAGCAAGAGGCAGTCAGGGTAAACTCAGTCCCAGCCCACCACCTTGCCTTACAAGCTGTGGTTTGGGACAAACCACTTAGTTTAACAAGTCATTATGCCCATACTTTGCAATCTAAAGCTGAGGGGGAGCTGTATAATATTCTTTCAGAAATTACTGATAATCAAACCCACAAGGATGAGCAGATATTTCCTAGCCTGAGGAAATGGTGGGTAAAAGGGAGAGCTTTCAGACAAATGGAATGAAAAGAGATAAGATGGGGTGTCAAGCAGCTACACTGCCATAAATGGGAATGTTTCCCTGTGCGATTGAAGAGCCAAGGGTATCTTAGTGTACACAACTAAAAAATATCTCCACCAGCCAGGGTGCTAGTATATCAGAGAGCTGTCATTTTTTACAGAAACCTGCACCAACATTAATTAAATTTTGCCACCTGGAAGTCCCTCAATGTAATCAAAGAAGATTAAAAGGGTAAACCTTTTGTGGGTCTGTCTGCTTCTAGACTTTTCATTCCTTTACATCTAAATGCTAGATAATTTTTCTTTCATTATTAGAAACTGTGAGAAATGCACTTGGAGACTTTCTGGAAATGCTGTCTCATTATTTAACTTAATTCAAGATGCTACTAATGTGTTTCAGAGATTTCAGTGTTTCTGTTTTAAGCACCTTGAGAACCTATTTGGAAATAGGTCCAATCAACAATGCAGCATTAGAATTTGAATACTTTCCTGTATCAGATAGAGAAGGCCCACAGGACTCATGCAATAATGGTGCAGATTGTTGGCTTGAATTATAACTATATATGGTTGGATGGATAGACAGACAGAGATACTGTACGACACCCTCCCCAACTATACTGCATGATGATTTGTTATGCAGCAAGGAAGGGCACAGAGTCATGGACATGGATCCATTAATACCTAGACTTGCAACCATGCAAGGGACAACAACAAGATAACCTGTAGGTATGTATGTAAGTAGGTAGGTAGGTAGGTAGGTAGATAGATTAGATAGATAGATAGATCTCAAAATGTTTTGCATACACTGCAGGTTTGTGCTTTTCTTTGCATAGTTTCAGTAGGTGCTTGGGATCTCTAGTTGGAGTGCACAGAAACACTCTAACATTTTGTCTATGTCCATGAGGCATTCAAAGATTGAAGTACTTTCTCTGAATTTTAAGACTAGGGAGTTAGGGAATGATACTCCATTCCTTCCCATGAGCTTCTCTACAGCAGTGTGCCTCACTATTGGAACCTTATAGAGAAAAGATGCTTGATTCAGTTCTATGGTCAGAGACAACTGTTAATCAAAATTACTAAAAATCATTTGAAGAAACTATCTGTGATACAGTATGTATACTTGATGCCAATACAAAAAAAAATGGACCTGTTATATCTGGTCCTAATTTGATTATTATTAATGGGAAGGTATTTTCACTTGAGATGATCTTACAAATGTCCTTTAATTTGACTAAAATTTTCTCCATGGCACTTGTTCTGTCTCATTGTTCCTTGATCTTCTTTTCAATGTCAACAACCTGAGTTTCTTAGTTGCATAAGAAGTGTTGAACTAGAATGAATTATGTACCTTTTCAGTTGTATTTCTCCAGCTTAGGAAAGCTCATCCATTTTTCCATATTGACAATTAAAAAAAAAAAAAATATATATATATATATATATAAATATATATATATATATATATATTGATATTGATTAATTGAGGGGGTAAAACAAGGATTTTATAATTCCTCATTTCCTACTTACACTTCAGTTTTGTTATTCATTTCATTGCTCTTAAAACCAAGTGATTCCAAGAGAATTGCTCCATATTTCAGCATGAAACTCACTAAATTCTATCATGACAGGAGATATTGAGATTCCTATTACCTTCTAGTGATATTTTAATAAAAGAGAAACTCTTTATTGACAATAGATTTTTTTGGAATTGGGAATTATTTCATAACTGAAAATTGTAGGAGTATCAATTCATACTAGGTAATTATTAAAATACTTGCAAATAAGTCCACCCTAAATTATTATTTAAAAAATTACTTCCAAAAATAAATTTAGTTTATATCTGACTTTTATTTGAAATAACATTAGAAGCCACTGGCATTAAAAGCATGCCTAGCTATGATCCTCCATTTTATGTATACATCTGTTTTATTTCTAAATATATGCAAGCCTAAATATGCAGTGATATTAACCAGGCTGGTGAGTTGGCCATCACCATGTGTTGGAAGCACAACACTCACTGCATCTTGGGAGCACAACCAATGGGACTGGGATCCTGCTGCTGGCATGACTGTTCAAAACAGTCATGCCAACAGCCACACCAGCTGGCATCTTCAGCCACCCCTGATTTGACAGCTCTTGTGAAGACCGGGCATTGTGTAATTGTTATTAACTCTTGTAGGAGTCTCATACTCACCATTTTGAAGTCTTGATAATGTTCTTTTCACATCATTTTAAACACCCATCATGGGCATTCTATCATGTCTATCTCAAAAATAATATTTTTTACACTTTTAACAGTTGTATAGGAAATAGCATTGAATGTGTCCCTGTCTTTTGTCATAAGACAGAAAAGCTATTAACAGTCTCAACTGTTACTTGTCAGAAAAGAACTCTATATTGTGGCTTGGGTTATAATCACTTGTCACATTAAAAGCACTCAATGTTCAAGTCCTTCAATCAATACTCATTGTTTTTCAAGTAGAAGTTTATATGATACCAGTCTAGTGGATGAATCAAAATTAAAGTCTTAAAAGAAGGCACTGTTTCTTTGACCTTCACATATTATTATAACACTATCATCTATTGGCATTTTAATTAAGAAGTTAAAAACTGCTATTTATTACACATCAAAGTCTCTTTCTATTTTATAACTAGGAAAGAAGTGGAACTTAAAAATTACACTGTGTCAGAGAAATGTTTTACTGAATGTTTCAACTACACTATTACTACCTAAATTTTAATATAGTTTCCTCTTAGGTTGCTTGAGTATCATCACAGACAAATACTGCGCCAACAGTGATAAAATGCAACAAAACATAGCATCTAATCTTTGTTCAGCATTTATTATATAAGAATGGCAGGTACCTTTATCTGTGTCCACAAAAAGGTCTAAAATTCTGTCTTTAAGTCAAAGGAATTTAAAATTACATTTGGAGCACAATACTATCATAAATTTTGAAATAATTTAGTAACAATTCATTTCAGGAAAAGAAATGTTAAAAATTGGAATTTATAGAAACTCTATATTTGTTCTCTTTAATTCCTTGATGTAACTAATGTGGCCAAAGTTGAATTTCATCTCAGTAATCATAGCAATGGCTGTTACACTTGCCCTTCAGTGAATGGATGAAGAATCCTCAAACTAGGTTGGTCTAAATGACAAATGTGAAGACCTAGGAAAATAGCAGCCACTTGCTTCACCATGTATTGGCATCCCATAATTTCACTGGAAAATGCATATCCTCAGAATATCTATTTACTTCTGAAGCTGTGTTTACAATATATATACTGAGAGGAAGGGGCTGACCCCTTGTAGATGTCTAATCCCACCTCTCCAGCTACAGGGCCCTGTTACCCTGGGCCCCCAGGGTAACACCCTGAGTATGGGAAGCATATTCCTGATAATAGTTCTGAGCCTTGACAGACTGCTCTAGCTCATCCCTTGCACAGTTGAATTGAATGTCATGCAGAGTTTCCAGAGTAAGAAGCTGTGGGCTAATATGTTATCCTCAACAGTCTGAAAGCCACTTAGACCCTTTGTCCACACTCTGTAAATGGAAGAAATCTCTCCAGTAATAACATTCCGCTTGAGATGCTTACTGGGTGCTCAATAAATATAATATGGAGAGTATTATAAGTTCAGGAACCTAAACATATTCAAGTTCTGTGAAACCGAATAGAGTAACGGCTGCCTAGACCCACCATGAAGACCCAGTGGTTTTGAGGCTCTGGAGTGTGGTGAGCCGCTTCTGCCGTTTCTGCAGATTATGGTCGCCATTACAAGATGACGCTGGCTCCACTGTGGTCTGTGACAAACAACTCCTTATCTGGGAGAGTTGGCACATGATTTTTCACCACCCTGTGAGAAAGCTCCACGCGGCAGCTTTGCATTGGGGCTTGGGATGCTTTATTAAGGCTGGGAGGGGCATCCAAGAGAGAGAAGAAGAAATATCCAGGGACCTGAATAAAACTGTTGAAAGAAGATTCTCGAGTTGCGTCTTCCTTGCGGGCAAGGGGTCGCGAGAGTGGAGTGTGCATGAACTTGTCATTCGGGCACTCCACACCCTTGAAAATGCCAGTGGGGTAGACCCCAGCTTTGGGGAATGATAAATTTCATAATGAAACACGTCAGAACCTTTGACACAGAAGCTGAAAGTGGTGGAAGGACACTAAAAGGGTACAATAAAGAAAATCAGATAATTCCTGGTGGCAATTTAAAAGTTCAATGACTTTGAACTCCTCTTTAGATTTCCATCTCTAACTACTTGGAACCATTTAACAGACTCCAGTTTTAAGTTTAATGTGTTAAAAATAAAAACCAATTTGAGGCGCAGATATCATATCACATTTTTGGCAGCTTAGCTGGGTCTTGAGCTGGAGGGCACAACTTCTGGATCATTCTGCTGAGCCATAGATGTTGAAAAAGTTCCTTATCCTCAATATTGAGGATTAACAGCCCTTCCCTGGTTACTGTGCCTATTCTGAATTCTCTGGTTTTCTTCTTTGAGCTTTCTTATCTAACCCCTGCAAGCCAGAGAGATGGTGCAAGGGGGGTCTAGGGCCAAGCACCCAATGTACTAGAGCTCCAAGAAGTTCTCTGGCTGACAGTGAGTTAAAATTTTAACAAGAAAATCATGATTAAGGAGGCAAACAATGATTGAAGATACCTGTCCAAGTGGCACATGTTTACATAAACCGCTTCGAGCCTTTCTGAATGAGAGTGGGAAGGAAATGATTGGTAGCTAGCTGATCACAAATATGTAAGTGGCTAGTGGGATGAAAAGAAGGTTAACTTAACAACAACTTCCCAAAGAAACTATCTCTTCATTTCCTTTCTTATTTAGAAAGCCAAACATTGTTTTTTAATTGACCTATGCAAAATTTCATACAATAAAAGGTGTGTAGAGCCATGAAATTCATCCTCACAGTAACTGATTCTTCATCATAACTCTTTGTAATGAGCATTGACTAATCTGTATCCTAGGCCAGCTGTACCCTGGTCTGGCATCCAGTGTTAACGCTGGCTTCTGGGACATTTGGAAATAGGTACATTCAGAACCCGAATTTTAAGTCCCTTCCAGGCATGGTTGAATGCAGCAAAGTTGAAGTCCGACAGTTTAGCCATTGAAATGTCTACTGCATCTTGAACTAAGAGGGAAGAGGGAGCCCCTCTTCTTCCTGCTCCTCCTGGGGCTCCCCTGCAGTGGCTCAGGAATTGCCCGAATCAACATCCTTAACTGGGTTTCCACAGCCCTGCTCTTTAAGCTCCCCTCTCCCCACCTCCACTAGGAATTTCTGTGCCCACTTGCATGGCCATGTGAGAGGGGTCTGGCTCAGAGTGGCATTCTCGTCCCTGCCTCTTACCACCTCCTCTCTCACCACCCTCAGGTGCCTGCTAATCCCATCATCCAGAGACAAGTTACCTGCCAGGTCACATCTCTGTCATGCATGAGCATTTTCAGGATTGGACATTATGAAGGATTTGAAAGGTGTGTGTGTGTGTGTGTGTGTGTGTGTGTGTCCTTGAGGGTTCCTTCATAAGCAGTTTTGTATGGCCATTTTCCTGACATGGAAGAACTTAAGAGGGGAGCAGTGTACCCTAAGCCCCATGAAATCTAAACTGCTTCAGATTTGACTGAAGCTTTGTCCTAAGCCATGACTTACAACCCCAAGGTGTACCTTCTCAATTGCAAATGAGACCAGCATAAAACGAGCTGTCTTCATTGGGTCATATTTAGGATTTTTTTCTGCTGTCAACCAAGCATTCCCTTCAAAATAAAAGATTATCTTATATAAACAATTTTTTAAAATCATTCTCATATATGAGTAATGGGTACATACACTTTCAAAATATTTTCCACCCTGCACATGTTTCAGTAAACCTGTCCCTTCCTGTCATGGACACCACCCTCCAGAGGATCTAAGAAAAACCCATAGGTTTCCAGTGGATACATTCTCTCCTCCTTCCACGGTCCCAACCCCTTACCATTACATGATCCCACCATTCCCTGAGGACACGATTACACCTTACATTCTTCATTCACTAATTCAACTGCTGCCAATTTCCTGAGCCTTCTGGGTCATCCATCAACCTCCAGCTGCCTCCAGAGTCTGTCTTTGTCCTACACCTTCATCTTTAACCCCTGGTGTGCTGGTAGCAGCCCCTCTATGTCCATTACCTGGCTGCTCTTTCTTCCTCTTCTTGCTCTGACCGTTGGAGACCCTGGGGACTTCACCCAGCCTCTCAGGAGGTAGCTGCTTCCTCTTTCCTCGACTCACTCACCCCATGTCACTGGCCCTGGAGGTGGGACTAGTGTGCCCTCCTTCTCCTCATTGCTCCTTTGAGAACTTGGCCTTTTCTTCCCTTTTAGGAACTCCCAGCATCTGGGAGGCACCCCCACTCCAGCAGACTCTGATCCTTGTGGGATCTCCAGTCCATTAGCTAATCTCCACCCTCCATCCCCTCCCTCACATCTTTATTTTCCTCTCTACCTGGCTTAGTTTCATGACTTTCTCTTGTCCTTGTTCCTCTCCAAGTTGCATGACTGAAAACCTCCATCCAACTTTGCCCACCTGCCCCAGAGCAGCTGGATGTGGCTAGAGAAAAGCAAAGGACCACGCTGACTGGTCGCCTCATTCTCTGTTCATTGCTGCACACATCAAGTAGTGTCCCTGCAATCCCTCTGCCCACCCTGGCCACCCAGCACCTGGCCGTAGCCAGCTTCCTCCCCCCTCACCTCCCAGACTGTTCCACACCCTTCTTCTCCCTTCTCCTTTCTCTTCCTCTCTCCTATTCCATCCTCCAAACTCCAACCCTTCCTTACCTTCAGCAGATGACCTCACTTTTCATTTTCCCTGAGGAGAGAATGTGCTCATCCTCCATCTCCACATCTCACCATCTCCTCACTGCATCTTGGCTGGAGAGCCTGTCTGGCCTCCCTCCTGTTCCCATAGCCAGTGACTCCTTTGCTCACTGAATCCCATCAGCCTATTTCCTCCTGTGATCTTCTCCTTTCTCACCTACATCACCAGTTTTTCCCTCCTTGATGTTGAGTCATTCTATCAGCATACAAAATGCTGCAAAATCTTCCCAGGGATCTATTAAAACACCTCTTGATCCCTCTCTCTTCAAGCCCCATTCCTCTGCTGCCCTTTTATGGTAGAATTGTACCACAGGCTGCTGGATTCCCTGTCTCTCCTTCATTAGTTCCCCAGTATTTTTTGAGCCTTCTTGAGTGAGACAGTCTGGCAGAATCAAGTACTTTTGTTCCTTCCAATCATGATGACTTCCATCTTTCCAGGACCAGTGGACATGCCTGGTCCTTCTTCTTTTATTGGCCTTCTCCTCCTCCTTATGCATCTGATCTCCTAGTCTTGCTGACATGACACCCACTTTGTTTTCCCCCCAGCCCCACCTCTTCCTACTCAGTGCCCTGAGAAACACCCCTGACTCCTGGCACCCTCTAAATTCTGGAGTGCCCCAGGGCCCACCGGCTTCTGTCTTTGGCTTTCCTGTGTTTCCATTCAGATATATGGTTCCACCCATTCTCTTGCTCTGAATAATATCTACATGCTCAACTCCAGAATTTCTTCTCTAACCCTGACATTGCTCTAGGTTCACAGATTCAGATTGACTCTCTAGTCTCTGTTCCATCTCTGAACTAACCTGTGCCAAGGTGGTCCTTGTTTCCCCTTCTACTTATCTCTCTATTCTCCCTTAGTCAGTGACTCCTGCCATTCTGGTTCACACCAGAAGCATTGGGGTAAGACTTGATTTCTCTGTCCCACACTCATTGGAAAACCCTCCAGCATAGATGCAAATCTTCCCTTTCTCCCCATGCACACCCTAACTGAGTCAGTGTGGCCTCTCCCTCTCTCTTGGTGAAATTGCAGCCTCTATTCTATTCTTTGTAAACTGTCCTCGGCACAGAAGGCTTCTTGCTGTCCTGGTCCCCTTGCTCACTCTGCTCAGTCACAGGAGCCTTTTGTTTGTTCTAATGTGGGTCAGACCAGTTCCCACCCAGCACCTTCACCTCTGTTCATCCTGTGACTTGGAGGCCCCACCTCTGTCCTCCGTGTCAGACTCCTTGTCATTATCCAAAATGCTTCCTTGACCATAGGCCACTAAATAGCCATACCAGCATGACCCACCACACTCTCTCTCTTTGCCCTCCTTCCCTTCTGAGTACTTGTAAGTATGTCACATTTTAATATTAATGTTTAACTTGCTTACATTTTCACTTTGGGAGCTATCTTGACATTGTAAGGCTCAAGTTCCTCCTCTGTAAACTGGGGAGAATAATAACATCCAGCTCTTGGGATCGATAAGAGGTTCTTGCACCATCGTAAGTACACAACAGTATCTTTTAAATTAATATACCTCTAATCTGAACTTCATCCCACCATTCAAATAAACAAGAATAACAAAAGTTTGATAAATGAAGAGATGCAATAGCAAAATCAGTATGAATGTTGTTTTTATTAATTTTCATCTATTGATATTTTCAATGATTCTCTAAAAAGCATTGAATTCCCTTAAAAGTCTAAATATTATCCAAAATGAAAAGCTGAAAGAGTTGGAAACAGTTGTCTCTGTGAAGCAAGAATTGGGAGCAGGATAAGAGTCCTGCTCTTCTTTGTTACAACATTAATACCATTGGACACTTTACTTTGATAGATATATAGTTGAGTTTTTTTTTTCTTTTTTTTTTAATTTTAATATTTTATTTTTTAGTTCTCGGTGGACACAACATCTTTGTTTGTATGTGGTGCTGAGGATCGATCCCAGGCCGCACGCATGCCAGGCGAGCGGACTACCGTTTGAGCCACATCCCCAGCCCAATATAGTTGAGTTTTAAGAAGAAAGACTGGAAGGAAATACTGTGACCCGTTAACAAGAGCTATCTGGGGTGGAGAAGATGGAATCACCAGCTGTTCCTTCCTTCCTTCCTTCCTTCCTTCTTTCCTTCCTTCCTTCCTTCCTTCCTCCCTCCCTCCCTCCTTCCCTCCCTCCCTCCCTCCCAAAATGATCCAGAATGTATTTATATTTTTTAATCATATGCATGTTTTTCATATATGAACTGGATATTAAAAGACTAATGGAGGCTTGGTAGGATGCATTTGGAATATGCTCCAAATTTTAAAATGTAACTTCTGGGGCACCAGGGAACACTGCACTCTAGTGTGGATACTTAGCAGAAGCTGCTAAGACCTTGAGACAGGCGGAGTTGGGTATCGGTGGCAGGGAAGAGGGTTGAAAACAGGGTAAAGAAGGTAAGTGGGAAGGGAGGATGCCATTCCAGCATCCTGATTGCTCACAAATCGGTCCTGAGAACAAGAGTAATCACTTTGGGAAGATTTGGAGACAGTGGGAGAGGAGGCAGACATGGCCAGATACAGGTAAACAAAGGATAGACATTTTCAGGGTCATCTGACATTCTGAGCATCATATTTGCATTTAATAAAAACCTCTAACCAAAGCAAATATGCGAAGAGACCATTTATTCCACATCTGGGAAGGAAAGCAGGCGCTAAAAGCAGGGGCTCCCAGCCAGGCTGCCTGGAGGAGAAGGGGTGTGTCTTAATTCATATTCCCTCTTTTAACCTTGATGATGGCCAGGAGCTCTGTAATCTCTTTTGACATGCTATAGAAATATTTTGCAAATTCAAATGCTTAGAACTTTCAAATGTCAGGAGGTGAAGGATCACTCTGCCTTCCCGTTTAATAGGAGCACGCTGTCTTTTGCAGGATGGATGTTCACAATATCACTTTGTAGCCTCATCTTCAACCATTGAGAGGGATCGGCAAAGGCCCTACTCCTCCTCCCGCACACCCTCCATCTCCTCTGTGTGTGCGTGTCTCCCAAAAACCGCTCAGGTAAGAGGCTGCCCAGGGCCATCCCAGGCCTTGGTTTCCCCTGAGCAAAGGCTCTCACCCCAGTCCCTCAGCTGAGATGCACCCGGAGGGGAACTGCCCCAACTTTGACTAGGAATATGAAATTCCTTTGTGTTATGTAAACACATATTCAGAGCAAATTCTCTAACAGGCTCACATGCACAAATGCCTATCAGGAACCTGCCTTCAGAGAGGAACAAGTGTAAGGAAGACTGCCAAGACTGTACACATCAGGATTTTCCATGCGCAGTTTTTGAAACTTAGTTTGAGTTGCATCTTCTTTATTGTATTTGGGATAACAGAGTAAAGGACACAGGATGTACTATTTCTTTCTTTGGCATGAGATGTATCTTGAGGGTCTCATAACTACTCTGTGTCCAGTTGGCTTTTTATTATTACCTACAAATCATTGATAAATTCTTACACCAAATTTTAACTTATAAGTCATTCCATTTAATTTTCTAATTTTGTCACATTCCTCTTGCTTAAATTTTGAGCTTAATTCACACATTTATTTGTGAAAGTATTTTATGTTATTCCACTTTTCAGTTGTTTAAAGGAATGCCAAAGATTAGATGGAAATATACAAGGTAAAATATGAACACCTTGTTTAATAATATAAGTGGCATGGGTTTATTGTTCTTTTACCCAAAGTGCAAGTTTTTGAAACTTTTCATTTCTGCATATTGATTTTGTTTGGAGAATGAAGAATGGAACAAAAATTCTATGCCCTCACCTACCCAATTCTCCTGACTTCCACACATGACTCTTTCCTTACCATCCCCAGCCCTCTCCCTGATGAGGTGATCACATTTCTGAAAGGATATACTGGAGACATTGGCAAAAAAATGCTACCCACCAAAGTGGCCTGAGGACAATTGCAAATCCTTACACTGGCCAGTCAGAATGACGGAAAATCAGAAACCAGGGGGGAGCTTTAGACCGACGTAAGGCACCCTCTCCAACCCATGAAAGCTTCTAGGTTCAGCCTCCCATGAGGATAAGGAAGCCCTGTGACTGGGAACTCTTCCACCTAACGTCGCAGTGCAGAGGTGGCCTCTTTTTCTTCTTTTCCTACAATTTTGGCAGGTTTTAAGAGATAAGGAAGTGTCTTCTCTGGTGCCTTAACCCATTCCAGCTCTTCTGCAGGAGAGCTGCATTCTAATAAGATGCCCCAGTGATTTGTGTGAACATTCCTTGTTTTAGGAGCTCTGAATTATAGACCCTGAACTAATATGAATCTGTAGGGTTTTTTTTTTGTTTTTTTTTTTTTTTTTAGCAAACATTCATTAAAACATTCATTTTTTTCTGGGGTTCTGCAGGAACTATCAAAACAAAGGGGCAAAGCTTGTGCCTCATATTTGATTGACAACCTCTCTCTCCCTCCCTTGGTGGGCATCACAACAAGACCGACCCCTCATAGCTGGTTGCTCTTAAGAACTGTCAACAGGAACCATTTCTGCTCATGTCTTATGTTCCTGTCACACTTCAGGAAAGTTGAGTTAAGAAGATAAACCTGAAAGTCATGTACCAGTAACCAGATAAAGGAAGCATGGAAGGGAAATGTATAGGTGTGGAACAATATCCCAGCACACTGCAGGGTAGCATCTACCCCTTCAAGCAGGTGCAGATGTCCTGAGCAGAACCATTTGGGTGGGAGAGAAGGACAACAGGCTGTCTCCTTGACCTTAAGTCATTTTTTCCTAATCAGACATCAGCAGGAGATATGACCATCAGCAGAGGAGTTAGCCTCTCACCCTCAATTTTCCATCCAACTGCAATCATTCTGGAAGACATCTGGTGTTGTGCATGACCCCCTGGTGAATGCAATGGCCCTGCTTCCTCCTGACAAATTGCTAATTGGCCTCCCTTAAGTTATGGTCTTTACTAAAAGCAAAGAAGCCAACAAATAAATAAATCAGGTCATGAGCACTAGACGAGGTCACCAGTGTGGCTCATAGTTGCACACATGCCAACGTACCTGCCTAACCATAAAGGAAAACAGAAACAAAATGTATTGGGAATGCCACCTCCTTCTATGGAAAGCAACCACTTTTCTTATAGCAAATACTACAAAATTCTGTCAGCACAGTGAGCAGACTGTCTCTAGCTCTTAGGGAGACCTGTCAGGAGGCTCTAGGACACTGATTTTGCATTCAAGAGTGTAATATTAGTCATTAGTTCCCAGGGTACAGAGAAACTCGTCAGCAGAATCAGTGAATTCCACACCAGCCTTCCATGGAATCCTGCACTCTTGGCAATGAAAAAGCACTCTGGTGTGGCCCAGGAGTCCTTGGTGCCTCATGATGTAACTACAGAGGGTTCCAAAGACTGGCTGCTATCTAGACATAGAGACAAGCCATAACTGTCCTAAGGGACACATTCTTAAGAATATTCTGGGCCCTTATGCCAATTAGAATTGATGGGCTAAGATGGGGTCCTGCATTGGAGGGAGCCAGTCCTCAGCACTGCCCAGACATCCATCTCAGAGTGAAGCCTGCTGGCCACAGAGGTTCTGGTGAATGCTGCTGAACCCCTTTTCCCGACCCAGGAGGAACCTGAACACCACAGCTCCTGACCACAGGGAGAGCCCACCCAGAGCTGAGTCCAGTGGTCATAGCTCAGTGCCCTTGTTATTTATGAGCAGGGCAGCAAAGGGAGGGGGCAGTTGGGCTGTCTGTCAAATTCTAATACGAAGCAGCATTTTAAAAATATCCACCAGAGAGCTCTTTCCCCCTAAAAAATCATTATCACACTCAAGTGAGCCTGGAAAACAGAATAAAATGTACTTACTTGGACTCCACTACTGGAGTGAATCTATCTTTATGTGGAGCTTTTCCTCTTGAGGACTCAGTAAAGTTCACCCCACCAACCATTCAGAAGAGGAGGTGTTTTGATTCTCCTCCAGTGGGGTAGTTCCAGAGATGCCCTTGTAGACAGGACCCATGATTTGGATTTTCATGTGGGTAGGAACAGCCATTTCCAAATGGAAGGCCTTCATTTTAGGAGCTTTCCTGGACAGTTTTCGCCTGAACAGTTTGACTGGGAGGAATGTTCTGGAGTTTGTTGAGGGTTAGCTCCCCTCGGCTGAGCCCTCTAAACTTCTGTGTGTCTCAGCCACCAGTGGGGCCTCAGGTGTATATGTACAAATCATCCCAGCTCACCCATAATTATGATCAATTTAATTTTTTTTCTTAAAAAAAGCAAAGGTGGAAGCCTTGGGAGAATGCTCATGGGTGAATGCCCAGCTTTTCTCCGAGGCCGGGTGGAGTGGCCTGGCGGGAGGGAGCTGGTGGAAATGAGTTAACCCAGCCTGGCTCTTCCCTCTGCCCTCACAGGGTTCAGCACAACCAGTCCCCCAGGAGCCCAGCAGAAAGGATTACAAGGCCTACCAGCCATTTCAGAACTCCACGAGGAATTACAACGAGTCCTTCTTTGAGAACCAGGTCCACCACCGCCCTCCGGCCAGTGAGTACACCATGCACCTGGGCCTCAAGTCCACGGGCAGGCTGCAAAATCTTCCCAGGGATCTATTAAAACACCTCTTGATCCCTCTCTCTTCAAGCCCCATTCCTCTGCTGCCCTTTTATGGTAGAATTGTACCACAGGCTGCTGGATTCCCTGTCTCTCCTTCATTAGTTCCCCAGTATTTTTTGAGCCTTCTTGAGTGAGACAGTCTGGTAGAATCAAGTACTTTTGTTCCTTCCAATCATGATGACTTCCATCTTTCCAGGACCAGTGGACATGCCTGGCAACTACATCGACTTCTACTCGGCAGCCCATCCCTACAGCGAACTGAACTATGAAAGGAGCCATGACCCGGCCTCGCCCGACTCCTGGGTGTGAGCTAGCCAGGTGCCCGGAGCAGTGCATGTGCATGCAGACACCAGGAGACATTTCTCCCCTCCCGCCCTGCAAATTTAGTTTGTTGAAGCCTGTTCCATAGGAAGGCTGTGATAACCAGTAAGGGAATATTAAGAGCTATTTTAGAAAGCTAAACGAATCAGACGTTAACTCAGTAATCAGTAGATCCTAAACACAACAACGGGTGACACTATTCTAGTCTGAGCTGTAGGGTTTAAAGAGTGCTTTATATGGAAGGCGGCAGAAGAAGGAGGGAGGAGAGGGCCGGTGGTGGGGTGTGGAGGTTAGTTAAGCTCAAGACACAGAAGAGTTTACACACTTATGGGGGACGGCTTCTCACGCTTTGTTTACTCTCTTCATCCATTGTGACTCTAGGCTTCAAGTTGCATTGGGGTTCCTCTGTATAGCAAGATATTTCTTGCCTTTTGTTAATGCATTGTTGTAAAGTATTTGATGTACATTACAGATTAAAGAAGAAGAGCGCATTGTGTATATTACACCAATGCCACTGTGTTTCTTCATCTATGGTTCTAAATATTGCTTCAATTTCAAACTTTTGAAAGATGTATGGATTTCCAGTTTTTCTTTTCTTTCTCCCAGTATGTTTTAACTGAAAACGAAAAAAAAAAAAAAAGGAATATTTAGCAGTATGGTTCGTTCTGATATGTGAATTTGTGGCAACTAACGAGGCATTCAGCAGTTTCTGATGATTAACATCCATCATTCCACTTTCCTTGTCAACAAAATGCTTTTCCACTGCCTAAAATTTTAGATGTAGATATTTGAAATAGATTTTTTTTCATTTATACCAGTTTTCTTTTTTTCTTTTTTTTTTAATTTTTAATATTTATTTTTTAGTTTTCAGCGGACACAACATCTTTGTTTGTATGTGGTGCTGAGGATCGAACCCGGGCCGCACGCATGCCAGGCGAGCGCGCTACCACTTGAGCCACATCCCCAGCCCCTATACCAGTTTTCTTTATGATGATAGAGTGTTAAAAGAAAATAAATTACAATTGATCTGTCATCCATATTTGCTAAGAATGTCTATTTCCAAGGACCTAGCTTACAAAAATACGCATCCTTGCTGTGCGTCTGTGCATGTGTGGGTGTGTGTATGTCCATGTACGTAGGGAAAAAACAACCTGTGTGAGATCTTATTTGGATAGAAGTGATTTCATTTGCTGTTCCTTTGTGCAGAATTTGGTTTTGGTTTTTAGTATTAATGTACATCGGTTCGTTCCTTTCGTACTGTATCTATTCTTCTGACCATCTAGTGACTCAGGATATTAGGCCAGTTGAAGTGAAGTTATAGGATTTTCACACGTTCACACATTCTTGGATACCAACTCTTTCTACAGGTCAATTTCCTTCCACGTTTTACACCCTCAGAACACTACAAACCATGGCCAATCGATAATTTCACTTTGGGGCCAATTACTTGAAGTGTCCACAGAAAATGTAAACTGCTCACCTTATTCCCCCCTAAACTTTTTGTTCGTGGCAGGGAGCAGTAGTCAATTATGGGGTAGATTATTAAAATTGAACTTGAAGCTAATGTTAGACTAGTGGTTAACAGAGCTAAGAAATAAGGCTAACCATTTCAGAGAACACGGGCTGTGGGTGAATGAGCTTCACTCTTTAGAGGCAAGTGACTGAGGCCAATAGGTGCCTAGTAAATGTTAACTGTTCTTGGAAAAAATTAAGAAATAAACAACAAAAGAATTTGGCTGCCATCTTCCTTTAAAACTGACTGCCCTTCACGCCACATAGATTAATTCAGCTCAAAGTCTGAAGTCATGGTTCTTGCTCCAAATTTAACAGTAATCCAAATATACTTCATTTGTGCCTCTTTTTGGAGATGTTAACTTCCAGAATAGAGCAGCAGACACAAAATTACATATGCATTTCCTAAAAATTACCTAGGCGTTAAACCTTGAAGCTTTGTTTATTGTAGGTCGCCAGGATTCTGGGTTTCCTCAAAGAAATGCTCCCACCTTTCCTTCTAGAGAGAGAGAAATATGTAGCATTAAAGACAGAGCTTGGTCTTCATCTGAGTTGTAGAGTGAAATGCAAGTTCATCAAGGCAGAGTGTGGTATAGACATTACTTATCCACAACCAATAGCTGGTTTAACCTTTCAAAAGTAAACAGTAGGATGCAGTTCTTGCTGAGAGTTGTGCAGGGAAAACTAATGATGTGCTAACACAGTCCTCCTCCTAGCAGGAACTTGCAATTTTTTTAATGACTTTGGGTCTCAGTGGATGGCCCACATTAGCAATTCTTGAATACCAAAGATGCCTTTGCTGTCTGTATTTCTTTGAGGGCATATGGTACCAGACTGTGGTGAACTGATTCATCCAGGAACCTCTGGGATCACAGCTGGAAGGAGGAGAAGGAAATTGAAGTGTGCATAGTTACTCAAGCCAATCTTTTTTTTTTCCTTTTCATAAATACACAGAGATAGATGATAGGTAGTTAGGCAGAAGGCAGAAGATAGCTGATAAATGGACAGAAAGGAAGGGAGGGAGAGAGGAAGGGAAGGAGGGAGATGATGGATAAATGACGCACCAGATAGATGGGTATTATCTGAACAGTAAAATGGCCTTAAGCCCCACAGTCTCCCTTGGTAAATAAGGTTGATCAGCTAGTGAAATATAAGATATGTATTGATTAAAAGCCTCAAGTGGCAAGAAACCTTTGGTTGGCTTTCACTGTGCTGATGAGCAAGTGGCTGCTTCTTAGGTCTACAGAATTTCCAGATCCTGGGTCATCCTTTTGAGATGGGAATGGCATTTTTCAGCTAGCACAACTTCTTTTTCTATTCAGCCCCTAGTGGTAGATACTAAATACACCCAATGCACTTAACAGGATGTAAGCCCAGACATGAACATAGGAAAAGCTGATCACCACAGTCTGATAAAGGAACACTAAGACTACACCATTATAAATAGAATTAACACTTTCAAATAGATCTTTTATTACTGATTCAGCTGCAATACCACGCACTAATATTTCAGTCCTCGATAACAGTTATGGGTTAAACAATAAAATATCAATTTTCTAAGAATTAGGGTGACACAGAGGTCATATCTTACTGGCGCTGACCTAGGTAAAGGTTAGCCAGTGATGACCTGTTCATCTTGATAAGAGTCACATTATGGAAAGCTGCTCTTAAAGAAATAATAATAAGATAAAAGCAGCATTTAAACTGAATAACAAATAAAAATCAAATACATACCAATAACCACCAAAATACTCAATGTATTTGGTCTGTCTGGTTTCTCCAGTTGAACTCTTCCTTAGTGTCATCCCCTTTCTTCCTAGAAGCTGTGCCCCTGGGCCATAAGATCTGAAGACCCCCACGTTGGTGGGGGGAAGTAACATTAAGTACTGCCTCAAAAATATCTGCAAAAGTGTTGCTCCAGACTGCCATAGTCTCTCACTAGCCAAAAATGAAAACTCAGAATGATCAGCTCAGCTCAGCTCAGATAGCAGGAGAAGGCCAAGCCCAGTGGGTTATGGACACCTCACCTCATCAGCTGACCGAATGACAGACATCTGTATGACACAGAGAGGAGAAAAGCCAAGCAACCGGGGGCTCATGGTGTTTTAGAACTGCATTTCCCAGACCGGATCCCGCTGATACCTGGCTGAATTCTCTGGGGAAACATGCTCTCCCAGGCCCAACCTGAGACACTTTCTTTCCCAGTGTGGTCAGGACAGTAGGGCTGAAATGCAGGTCAAGCAACCAGCTAATCAAGACCAAACTAATGACCATCTGATCATCAGCTTGTAACCTTGCTCTCTCAAATATCCCAAATAATATTTCACTATTGGCTTGGTGGCAAAACACACTCTGTGCTGGCTGCAAGCCCTCTGTGGTCTTTGTTTATCATGCTTAGTGTGGCTGCTCAGATATTTGTCACACAACTGTGTGCTTGAGCAGAAGGTGCTGCCCAGACTCTGCTGGGGTGTTGGGGTGTTATGGAATTTATGGGAGAATGACTGATTGCTTTTAAAAATCTGAAAATTTGAGTTTAGTTTGCCCAAGAGTTTCACACACATGAACTGGTATACGAAATGAATAAGAACTGGACTTGTGGTTTCCAAGGTCTCCTTTAGCTCCTAGAGATAATCTACAACCCACGGTGCATCTCAGATCAGGATCTTCATGAGGGTGCACCTTGGTGAGGGCTCTATGGGAAAGAGAACCTTGTGCACATCATGCCTCACCTCGAAGCGCCATATTGTTTGGTCACCAGTAGAATCAAAGAGCAAGGAGAATCATAATGTGCTAGATTATTAGTGGCCTTACAAAGTGAAGGACCAAGAACTTCAGTTCACAAAGAATACCAAGTGCTCCCCAGGGGGGAAGGTCAGCCCCAGTGGAGAACCACTGTCCCAGTGCCCTGCTCAAGATGCTAATCACAATCGAGTTCAAGAACATAAAATGCCACACTCCACAGCGTGGTGATCTGAGAAACAAGACAGAGGAGACAGCATTTGGCTAGAATGTGAAGAAAGGATAGACTTCCATGGAGCAAGAATAGGAGCATTTCAGGTAACAGAAACAAGAATGAAGGAGATGATATAGGAAGCACCAGGAATGGACAGGGAACAAAGGTGATGATTTTTATTTTAAAATTAGGAACAGAGTAAGGATTAACTAAGACAGAAAGAAAAATCAGCTGGGGGCAAAGCTGCAGGCCTTTGCAAAACCGCCTTGTGGAAACATTGACATTTTCTTATTACACCTGTACAAAGATCCTTGGTGTGTGTGGTGACAATAAAGTCAGACTCTAGATGGGTGCTCTAAAACTCCAGCCCGCAGCAGAATCACCTGGAGCACATGACCCAGCAAGCTCGTCCGAAGGCTTGCCTGGGTAGGGCTGGATATGGCTAAGAATTTGCATTTCTAACAAATGATGTTCATGTTGCTTTTCTGAGGACCCCACTTTGAGAATGCCTGGTCTAGAGACAATCACTTATGAGACAATTGTAATGACCCAGAAGCGTGAGCATTTTACTCAAAATCACTCCCACATGAGCATTTCCGCATCAATATCTGCCTTTTCACAAAATGCCTGAGTGATGCACAGAACATTACAGAACAACAGTCCAGAAAACAAATAAGGGTCTGAGGGAGGAGCTAACAGTAAAACTAACAAAACTAATATAAAATATTGTCAGTGTTGATCAGAGGCACTTGCCCACTACTTGATGAGAAAAAGAAGCACCTAAAGATGCCTCTGAGATGTGAGCCTGGGTTGCCCAAAACCCAGGAGTAGAAAACTTCCTTTCCAGCAAACAGATCCCACTCCATTTGGACATGTGGAGTTACCTGTGCTGCTGGTACATCTAGGGGCTGAGCTGCAACTGGCAGTGGGAAATGTAACAGAGACTCTGAACTGGAGATATAAAATAGGCATTGCTCCTCTGGGGTTGAAAGTAAGAAAATGGGCATGGATAGAGCATTTGTGAAAAGGAGAATATGGCGAGAA